ATGAAGTTGGCTGGTCCGTTTCGGGTCAGCGGTACGTCCTTCATCAGTCCAACGTGTGTTCCGACCGGGGTTGGTTTCCAGTTTTTGACGGATGATACTCGAGCGGTGAAAAATTCGGTGCAAATCCGTTTCCTTCGCCGACTCCCAGAAGGGTTGGTTTAGGACCATGGTTGACTAATGATTGACGGGCGTTGTACGAGGTCGGCCTTCCACCGAAGAGCTCGTCCGTTGCAGGCATTCTTGGAGGCGGCTGCATCCAATGTGTAGTCCCAACTGGAGTCCGTTTCGTTTTTGTAAACATTGAAAAACAAAACAAAAACAAGAGTTGTTAAAATACCGGGATGCCAAACAAGGCATTATTCACAAGCAAACAAACGTCAGTTCATTGACTTCTCGGCACTGCCGGCACAGCTGCGGCACACTGAGAAAAAAAAGTTGGCACATAATAAGTGTGTAGAGTGACCACCACTTGAATATAGTCCATAATTTTCTTTAAAATTCCCTTCGACTATTCCTCAGAAATCTCTAGATCGTAGTGTGCTGTGTTCGAAGAGAAAAATGGAAAAATGTAAGCCGTCAATTTTTTGCTCCGTTCTTTCGTTTTTTTATTGAAGTTTTAATTAGTGTTCCTTCAACCAGGCTGTTTGCTCTATTGGCCGATTGGGACATCTTTAACCGCCTATCATCATCACCGATCGGTTCGGTCGGCCTCTCGGGACCTAGCACCAACAGCCGGCCTTATTTGTTGTTCTTTCTGGCTATTTGTGATTCTTACGAGTGGGTCAGATATTCCGATTAGCAGACAGAATCCATTCAACCACATGTCAGCTTCGTTGACCATTTCTGCTGGTATTGTCTGACCGATCAACTGATTGTCCACACCGAATTTTTGGTTCGCTTGTATTCATCACCGACACTAAGAATAGGCAAACCTATTTTCGTGCTCAGTCAACCAACCCTTGATTATGGAGATCACAATAACGAGAAATCATTTATGGATCGATGGTGATTATATGATAATCCTTATAATAATAGCCGGAGGTCCTAATAATGCGACCTGTTGGGAGATGTCTCCATTGGAAAGAGATTCTCTATTCCCGAGTAAGAGTCTGCACTCCTCCGTGTTTGGCCCTTCATGCAGCTGTGAATTAACGAACAGATTGATCTATTAGGAGGATCCACGCGTCACGGCGAGTGACTTGATAGTGGCTTTGCATCACATCACATCAAACACTTAACATTTTAATTTGTGAATCTCACGTTGAATACTTTGTCAATTAGCAAGAAATGTTCTATTAATGTGATTCCTTTTAGAGTCCACAAATGGCCGCCACGTAGGCTATACATGCACTTTCACTTCAAGTTTTCAATTTCACAAATCTCGGAAATCAGTGGTTCATTTAATTTGAAATTGCTACTTCATGTATGCTACAGTGCAGCAAACGTGGAGTAACAATTGAAATGTTGCACGTGTCGTAGAAGCTGATATTTGTGCACTTGAAGTTTCGAAGTGGTTACGAGAATAAGGATGTCACAGCGAATCACCTTAACGTAGAAATTTGCTGTTTTCGTCGTCGTCATCATCATCGTCGTTGGCAGTATCATTCGTATATTTATAATTAGCTGAGTGTGCCCGGTCTTGCTCGGGATTCAATATTAGCTTGAGTTTATGCGCCGATTTAAAAAAAAGCATGCTATTTGTACGTAGCCCCCCCCCCTATTATCTAAGGGCCTACCCCCTATGATTATCTCCTTATACCCCCACACTCGCCCCCATATGCCTAATTTGGTTCCATTTGCTTGATTAGTTCTCGAGTTATGCAGAAATTTCTGTTTCATTTGTATGGGAGCCCCCCCCCAGACAGACAGACAGACAGACAGACAGACAGACAGACAGACAGACAGACAGACAGACAGACAGACAGACAGACAGACAGACAGACAGACAGACAGACAGACAGACAGACAGACAGACAGACAGACAGACAGACAGACAGACAGACAGACAGACAGACAGACAGACAGACAGACAGACAGACAGACAGACAGACAGACAGACAGACAGACAGACAGACAGACAGACAGACAGACAGACAGACAGACAGACAGACAGACAGACAGACAGACAGACAGACAGACAGACAGACAGACAGACAGACAGACAGACAGACAGACAGACAGACAGACAGACAGACAGACAGACAGACAGACAGACAGACAGACAGACAGACAGACAGACAGACAGACAGACAGACAGACAGACAGACAGACAGACAGACAGACAGACAGACAGACAGACAGACAGACAGACAGACAGACAGACAGACAGACAGACAGACAGACAGACAGACAGACAGACAGACAGACAGACAGACAGACAGACAGACAGACAGACAGACAGACAGACAGACAGACAGACAGACAGACAGACAGACAGACAGACAGACAGACAGACAGACAGACAGACAGACAGACAGACAGACAGACAGACAGACAGACAGACAGACAGACAGACAGACAGACAGACAGACAGACAGACAGACAGACAGACAGACAGACAGACAGACAGACAGACAGACAGACAGACAGACAGACAGACAGACAGACAGACAGACAGACAGACAGACAGACAGACAGACAGACAGACAGACAGACAGACAGACAGACAGACAGACAGACAGACAGACAGACAGACAGACAGACAGACAGACAGACAGACAGACAGACAGACAGACAGACAGACAGACAGACAGACAGACAGACAGACAGACAGACAGACAGACAGACAGACAGACAGACAGACAGACAGACAGACAGACAGACAGACAGACAGACAGACAGACAGACAGACAGACAGACAGACAGACAGACAGACAGACAGACAGACAGACAGACAGACAGACAGACAGACAGACAGACAGACAGACAGACAGACAGACAGACAGACAGACAGACAGACAGACAGACAGACAGACAGACAGACAGACAGACAGACAGACAGACAGACAGACAGACAGACAGACAGACAGACAGACAGACAGACAGACAGACAGACAGACAGACAGACAGACAGACAGACAGACAGACAGACAGACAGACAGACAGACAGACAGACAGACAGACAGACAGACAGACAGACAGACAGACAGACAGACAGACAGACAGACAGACAGACAGACAGACAGACAGACAGACAGACAGACAGACAGACAGACAGACAGACAGACAGACAGACAGACAGACAGACAGACAGACAGACAGACAGACAGACAGACAGACAGACAGACAGACAGACAGACAGACAGACAGACAGACAGACAGACAGACAGACAGACAGACAGACAGACAGACAGACAGACAGACAGACAGACAGACAGACAGACAGACAGACAGACAGACAGACAGACAGACAGACAGACAGACAGACAGACAGACAGACAGACAGACAGACAGACAGACAGACAGACAGACAGACAGACAGACAGACAGACAGACAGACAGACAGACAGACAGACAGACAGACAGACAGACAGACAGACAGACAGACAGACAGACAGACAGACAGACAGACAGACAGACAGACAGACAGACAGACAGACAGACAGACAGACAGACAGACAGACAGACAGACAGACAGACAGACAGACAGACAGACAGACAGACAGACAGACAGACAGACAGACAGACAGACAGACAGACAGACAGACAGACAGACAGACAGACAGACAGACAGACAGACAGACAGACAGACAGACAGACAGACAGACAGACAGACAGACAGACAGACAGACAGACAGACAGACAGACAGACAGACAGACAGACAGACAGACAGACAGACAGACAGACAGACAGACAGACAGACAGACAGACAGACAGACAGACAGACAGACAGACAGACAGACAGACAGACAGACAGACAGACAGACAGACAGACAGACAGACAGACAGACAGACAGACAGACAGACAGACAGACAGACAGACAGACAGACAGACAGACAGACAGACAGACAGACAGACAGACAGACAGACAGACAGACAGACAGACAGACAGACAGACAGACAGACAGACAGACAGACAGACAGACAGACAGACAGAATCGCCATCGCCGGGTGTATAGGGTATAAAGCGTCGTAATACCCATAAGTTTGCGATTATGGATAAACTAAACTCCTCAATGGCCAAGCATATCGTCAAGGTAATTTTCCTCCATCCAATGGAGCGTTGCTCTAAAATTGCACATCGGTCAATGGGCCGTTTTGTTTGAGCTTGGCCATGAAAGCTATACATCTAACGATTTTCCTAGCCTATTATAAGTGTTGCTAATTATGGCATCTAAAAATTGTCCAAAATCCAGCAAAGTGACATGCTAATTTTGGCAAGTCTACTGTAATTTATCAAATTATTCATCGGACTCCAATGCAAGATGCAGGTCAGCAGAACTGTTGCGTAATTTTACTGTTGCGTAATTTTACGATTTTTGGCACAATTATCCGACAACGATGTGGAACATGTGTGTGTGCGCGAGTGTGCATAAACTCAAAATTATTCAGCAGTCCGATTCAATTGGCGATTTTATTTGGAGTCCCAGTTTTACCGATTTTGTTTTGTCCATTCACATGTGCATGCAAATCCATCAGTATAGTTTGTAGCTTTGCGTGGCACATGGAACTCTAAAAAGCGATTGTCTCGGTTCGGGAAAAGATGTAATTGGTTTGTTGGTTGGATGCGAAAACACCACCACAGCCAACCGACTGAGGAGATTGGCGGAGGAAAAGCGCATGTAACAATGCTAATCATCGAGTGGCTGCCGTTCTCCCTCGTCTCTTCGTCGGGGTTCGATTACGTCCGGTGGTCGGTGCCATCCAATTTGTAGGTCAATTGTTGCTCTCGCGCTAGTTGTTACGTTGTGCGAGCGGGTTTAATTGGAATGCGCGTTGAACAGGGTTATCACATAGTTTATAATGAAGACTGATTTAATCTTTTCCTCTCGTTTGCAGGTACAACACTTGGAGGAACGCAACCGACGTAGCATCCACAAATCGAGGCCATACTTTGAGGAGAAGCAACTATGCCAGGAACAGCTGGAAGCACAGAAAGGCCGTATCCAGCAGCTGGAGGATCAGATCGCTGCTGCCAAAACTGCCTACGGGACGGCTCTGCGGAATTTGGAGCAAATCAGTGAGGAGATTCACAAGCAACGGGGTGACCTAAGCCTTGCAGCTCCGTCCGGTCCCCGGGAGCCCGGCGTGGGAGCCGAACTGTCCAACCTGCCTCCGTCGTCGAGTTCGATGAAGCTGAGCTCACCTGGTGCAAGTAGTTGTTGTAACTACAGCAACTTCAGCTGTAATATGCCGGACATATCGACTGAGCTGGATAAGTGCGAGATTCACTCGGTGGGAAGTACCTCGTTGGCAACCAGTTCTGCCGTCAGCGAAAAGGATCCAACCGAGGATGACTACATGAACGATGCGGATCTTAATCTGGAACTACTCAGGCAGAAAGTGAAAACACTAGCCGTCCGTCCGGTTGAAGGTGGCGATGGCCAACAGCAGGAACAGGATGTTTGGGAGCATGAACTGAACGCCACCGTAGATAAGCTGGACCACCTAATGATGCTGCGAGAGTGCTCTGCCAGTAGTATAAATGGTGCCTCGCTCGGCGATAGCAGCCAAACCAACAACTACGCCAGTCTGCCAACCACTCCAAAACACCACCAGCAGCTATCACCCGTGTTGGCGGAGAAGCAAAAAATTAAAATGTTCAAAAAATTGGATCCCCTTCCGCTTGCAAATGTCTCGATGTATGCGCTTCCAACCTACCTTAGCAGCAGCGGCAGTGGGATGACCCCCACCTGCTCAGGTATTCCTTCAGTTCCTATGGGATACAATGATCTAGTGACGCCCCGTAACGAAACCGTTGCACCCATTCTTGGGTACAAGAGCAAACGGAAGATGTCCATGTAAAGTTTGTGGTAACTATAGTTAGCTGGTAAGCAAATCGACTGACAAAAAAGACGGGGACCGAATGCTTGATTCAGAGAATCGTACTTGGGATGCTATCCGGATTTCCGGGTAGGGTGGTGGTCCCCCCTCCGCTCGTGTGGTCGTGTCATAGTAACGTTTATGTTTATTTTTTACAATATGATAGGTTCATTCGCTTCGTGCTTTTTCGTGTATTTTGTTCATTTTCTACGTTTTACTAGGAATAACGAAATGGTAACAAACAGTGAATTCTGAAGTAGGACAAATGAGACAGTGGATATGGTAGATGTGAGTAGGAAACCAATCTCGTTAGGAGATGTTGGTAGGATCTTAAATCGGTCAAAACAAATCTGAATGAATAACGGTAGATGTAGGCTTTGCCTCTAATTTTAGAGTGCTGCTCATTTTTTTTTTTTATCATTTTGCACACATTGTTTTGCCGATTTACTGTAACACACAAGCAATGTGATAATCTTTTGATAAATTGGCATTTATAAGCTAGAATTGCTACCGTATTTTCGTTTGCATTGCACAATCTGAGTCACGGTTTGTAGGGTTGTTTGATTTTGTAACTGATCGAATATTTAAATACAGTGGGAAGCGACAATTATCCGGAACAACTCAATCTTTCGGTAATCGAAACGGCAAGCGTAATATGTCGGATAACTGAAGCTCAACTGTTCATGTTTTTCCTTGTTATGAAAAATTCTAACCTCGTTTTGCGTTTCGTGTGAAAACAATAAAAAATGTTACCTTAGAAAGCAGAGCCATGCTAAACTAGAAAACAAGAAGAGAAATCATACACATTATTCATCAGTACAAACTCAAAATGTATACTAAAAATATACATCCGTAAAACTACATAAAACAATTAGAAATGACTAGAAATACTATATTTTCACCGTCACCTGATTTTAAACTAATTGTTTGAAATAATTAAATAGTAGGGCAAAGCACTGTTATCGATATCATACAGACCACTGTAGTAAATCAGCTTTTGAATTCGGATAGATGGTTCCATTGAAGTGTATAAAAAAAGCTTTATTAAAATATAAAACTGTATTGGTCAGTTAAGTAAATCAACTAATGTATGAGAACAGTAGAAAACTGAAACTATAGTGATTATCTCGGGACGATTTGTTTTGAGATACAGCACACACTGTCTCGTAACAATGTGAGTTCAGAAATTCAGATGTTTAACGAAAATCTATCAGAGAAGAGTTTATTTAGTGCAAGAGAATAATCAAGTGCAGCAGTTTTTGCCTTTTATTTTATTGCACATAGATGAAAAAAAATGGAATAGTTGAAATGGTTTTGAACATTTAACAGACTTTAATAGCATTAGGTTTAACATTGAAAGGAGAGATGTTTTGGTTTGGTTTGTGGATGACCTACCTTAAATCTGTATGGGTTTTCTGCAAAGAGAACGAAGCATACTAACGGAAAGTTTTATTAACCCATCTGAATGAGAAATACAAACTTAATTAATGCGTAAATACCGAGAGTGAAGCTTAGCGACGAAAATGAGTTGAGAAATCCATTATAGAATGAAAAAAACCTACGATTATAATTTTATTTTATTTTAACTTACTTTCATCTAGCTTGACGCTTCAATGAAATGTTGCATGATGAGGAAAAGCCCTTTTCAGCAGGTTGATTTGTTCTTTTGTTCCAGTCATATTACAAAGCTAATTATATTGAACAGTTACATAAATTAAATTGGTTCATGCTGCAAAATCTCCCGTCAAGCACCAAAGTCGAACTGCTAGACCAAATAAATAAAATCTGGATAGAGAACACCCTGCCAAAGGAATGGTCCCACAGTCTGGTAGTCTCCATCCCAAGGCAGGGCCAAGTGGCCTCTACTCCGGAAAACTCCCGTCCAATCTCTCTGACTTGCTGCATTAGTAAAGTCATGGAACGGATGGTCAATCGCCGTCTAATTCGCTTTCTCGTGGACAACGACCATTTCGACCACCGACAGCATGCGTTCAGATCCGGTCACGGCACCTTAACGTACTTTACTGGCCTGGGCAATGTACTTCAAGAGGCGATGGATGAGGAACTCCATGTCGACATAGCAGCCCTGGATTTAGCTAAGGCGTATAACCGCGCCTGAACTCCCCAAGTCATCAAACAGTTGGCTGACCAGAGTCTTTTTTACACAGGGGGAATCTGCTCCCAGACACCTGAGAAGATAACTCAGGGTGTGGGGATGGGAGAAGTAGCGCTCCAGACCCACTATTTAAACCTTACCCTCTGCTCTTGGCCCTTGCCCTCCCCGGAACCGCTCGAAAGCATTACATCATGGGAGGGGGCCGGTTGCGCTATGGCGCATCGCTAGTGGCGTATCACAGACGTGACACTCGCTACTACACAGTGAGCAGCTTTGCAGGGCCTTCCTGTTATCGTTCGCCGTTAATTGTTCGCCTGAGTTCTAGAGCAGACGTGGCAGCAAGCCAGCTGTCCACGGCGGGACAGGACATACGTGACTGCGTACCAGCTGCGTGTGTTGCGACTTGGTCAGAACCCGGTGTCACTCCTGCCTTTGCACAACGAGGGTTTGAGCAGGGCTTATCGACCTCCTGGGACGAGCTGGATGGGGCTCCAGCGTCCTTACTCTGTTGTAGTTCGTTTAGCCGCAATATCTCTCCCTTGGGTTCGATAATTAACGTTTCCAGGAGGAGGCGAACTACTTCATGCCCCTGGCTGACTGGGGTCTGGATGGCCACATTCTATACTTTGTAAAAAAAATCCTTTGCGGCAGAAGCTTTCAGGTGATGATCGGAAACCACCGCTTCTCAACCCGGGCGGAAGAAACTGGAGTCCCACAGGGATCCGTCATAGCGGTCACCATCTTCTTGGTCGCCATGAATGGAGTCTTTGGGGTCCTACCAAAAGGAATATACATATTTGTATATGCAGACGACATCGTCCTGCTGGCTATCGGACGCACCCTCAAGGCTTTGCGAAGGAAATTACGAGCTGCTGTATCAGCCACCACAAGATGGGCCTGTAGGGTCGGCTTTGAATTATCCGCAGAAAAGAGCGTGGTTTCCCACCTATGCCACTCCTGTCATCGCCCGCTACCAACAGCCATCGTTGCGAACAATATTCCAATACCCAACAAGAAGACCATCCAGGTTCTTGGTGTACGCTTGGACCGGGAGCTGAGGTTCGATGCACATTTCAATGAGATCAAAGCCAACTGCCGCACGTGGCTAAACCTCCTCCGGACACTTTCCAAACCACACCGGAGCAGTAACAGAGAGATTCTACTAAAAGTGGCCAAAGCCACCGTAAACAGTAGATTATTCTACGGGATCGAACTGTACTGCCTTTCCAACGACTATCTTGCCACACGACTAGCCCCAACGTATAACCAGGCAATCAGAATCGTCGCAAGACTTCTGCCTTCAACACCGGCTGAATCGGCATGCGTCGAACTCGGTGTACTACCGTTTCAATACCAAGTCGCCGAAACGCTGAGCTGCAGAACGACCAGCTACCTGGAAAAGACCACCGGTAACTACGAGGTTCTTCTCCTCAGGGAGGGGAACAGAGCTCTCGGAAAATTGGTCCATCAGGAGCTCCCACCCGTGTCCCCAGGGTACACTGGAACGGAGCCAGAGGATGGACAGAAGCAACCATACGCGTTGACCTTTCAATTGCCAAGCGCTTCAAGGCAGGTAACAACTCCCGTGACATGCAGGCCCACGTAGCGGAGCTGCTGAGAACTAAATCAAGACCAACAATTGAAATGGCCTTAACTCCATTTTGTAAACAAACCTTTGCCATACAACCATTTTCTCGCGAACCGAAGTCCGCAAAGGCAAACCAACATAATGACAGGTAGGGGAAATTCTCCTCTACCCGATTGTGGTTTAGGTTTGCGAATGAAGGTTTCGGTTCGCGAGAAAATGGCCTTAGGGGCTGTTCATAAACTACGTAGACAGTTTTTTTGGATTCCTAACACACTTCTCCCCCTGCGTACACAGAAATAAAGAAATACCCAAAATTTAGGTTAAAAGAACCCAAAAATAAGTATATGCGTTAAAGTACACCGTTGGGTAAAAATCAAATGACGCGTTGATTTATTTTTACCCAACGGATAAGTAATGTGTAGATTACCTAAAGATAGGTAGAAAAAAACTTGGACAATTTTTGTCAGGGTGCGGGAGTAATAAATTTTATAAATTGATATAGATGACTGTCCATACACAAAATTTTAAATTTGTATGGGCCATGGATAATTTTAAACCCCCCCCCCCCGAAACTGTCTACGTAGTTTATGAACAGCCCCTTGCAAGTTTTGTTTACAAAATGGAGTTAAGGCCATTTCAATTGTTGGTCTTGAAATACGCAAATTTTCAACACCGTTACACCAACAATCAATTCGAAACTAACGATTTTAAATTGGCTCCCCACATACAGCGGGCTAGTCGCCCACGGCTCGCCCCCGGACCGCTCGGCGGACGGGGCGGACTTGGGCGACTCGAACCTCGCGGCGCCGCTTGGTCCAATTTTGGTCGCCGGCGCGCCGGGGGCGACCATATTTGCAACATTTGGGCGCCTGAGGCGAAAACGATACCTGTCAAAAAACTGACCGTTTTAGCCGCTTTGGTCGCCCTTTGTCCGCCCCCGGCGCGCTACCCGGCGGCTGTAGTTTGTGCACCACCATTTTCTTTCTTTTTGCGATTTTAATAATAAAAAGTAAATAATGTTGAACCCTTCAAATGACTTTATTTAAAATTCCTTTAAACATACATACAAAAATAATTCTTATAACTAAAATATTTGATTTTTTTGCATATACACATCTTAAACTAACAATAATAACAAACAAACTTACAATCTACCCAAAATCAGACGATATTCCCAGGGATGCCTCATCATTCAGGTTCAGGCCAATCCTGGGTGCCCTGGGGGAAGCATCCAGTAACTGATTAGATTTTATTAGGTTTAACCCCATGATGCGACACATCGAATTACATGAGAATTCTATGAATGGTTCAA